AAAAAAAAAAAAAAAACTGCCAGCTCTTATCTGAGTCTTTTGTCCCCGGCCCCGGGCTGGCCCTGTCCCTGTGGCTTGGAGCGGCCAGGCGCTGGGGCCAGGCTGCCCCGAGAAGAGCGGGGGACCCCGGGCCCACATGCGCGCACGCCCCACCCCCATCCCCCCAGTCTGGCCCAAGACCCAGCAGCCCGGGCCGGCCCCTCTCGGTGGTGCTGAGAGCCCGGCCCGCGGCAGGCCTGGCACCCTGGGCAGGGCCCTGCCCGCTGCTGGCAGAGGCCCGCCCAGCTGTCGGGGTTTCCGCCTGGAGCCCGCGCCAGCCTCGGCTGCCCAGCAGGTGCGGCACTTCCCAGTGGGAGCTGCTCCGGTTTCAGCAGGGCCTTGTTCTCAGAAACCCCGCCTGGTCCCCCGCACCACGCCCCCCGGGGCTCCCCGGCCCCCTTCCTGCGTCCTGGCCGCCAGGCCCCCCCCCCCCCCACTGTGGGTGGAAATCTCAGCCAGGGAATGAAAATAGAAACCACTTCTGTCTGCCCCTGGCCAGACGAGATAAGGGGCTCCCTTCCTCCCATGGGGCCCTGGGTCCTAGGGCCAGTATCAGGGCTCCCTTTCTCCCAGGGGGTCTGGGGCCGGTGTCGGGGCTCCCTTCCTCCCAGGGGGCCTGGGGCCGGTGTCGGGGCTCCCTTCCTCCCATGGGGCCCTGGGTCCTAGGGCCAGTGTCAGGGCTCCCTTCCTCCCATGGGACCCTGAGGCCAGTGTCGGGGCTCCCTTCCTCCCAGGGGGCCTGGGGCCGGTGTCGGGGCTCCCTTCCTCCCATGGGGCCCTGGGTCCTAGGGCCAGTGTCAGGGCTCCCTTCCTCCCATGGGACCCTGAGGCCAGTGTCGGGGCTCCCTTCCTCCCAGGGGGCCTGGGGCCAGTGTCGGGGCTCCCTTCCTCCCAGGGGGCCTGGGGCCGGTGTCGGGGCTCCCTTCCTCCCAGGGGGCCTGGGGCCAGTGTCAGGGCTCCCTTCCTCCCAGGGGGCCTGGGGCCGGTGTCATCAGGGCAGGTCTAGGCATCTCTGACTCCACCCTGGTCCTGGTTGCCCTCTTGGGCCACCCAGCCCCTCCCACCTCTCAGGCCAGGGACTTCCTCTCATCCTAACAGTCTCTCCCAGGCCCATCCTGAGCCCGAGGACTGGGGGTCTCCCATCACCTGCCCCCGGGGCTGGACCGCCTGCAGTCTGAGCGAGGCTGAGAACAGGGGAGTAGGTACCCACTGGGGGCCCGAGGGCCTGGGCACTTCGGGACAGCCTGGTCCTGTTTTTGAGATCCAATGGGACCTCTAATCCAGGGCACCCCTCCAGGGGCAAGCCTAGCCCCACTTCCCGCCCCCCTCCCAGCCTGGCATCTGTGTGCCAGGCCCTAGCACTTCAGGGTGACAACAAGGGACATGGCAGCTCAGCTCAGCCCTGCAGCCCCTGCCCCGCCCTGTTCCTGCCTGGCCTGGGGCCTCAACAGCCTCAGAGTGGACGCTGCTCTGTGTCCATGGCTGGTGCCTCTTCCTGCCAGGCCCAGAATAGCCCAGGCCCCAGGGAACCTCTGGCGGGGGTCCAGGGGCTGCGTCGGGAGCAAGGCGGGAGCAGAGGCTGGCCACCCTCTGCCCATCTGCAGGGCTCAACCTGTGCCAGGCTCCTGCGCCTTCCCGCACACCTGTGTGGGCCAGCCCTGCCTGCAATAGCCCCTGCAGAGCCCAGGGCCAGAGGAGCCCCCATGTGGAAAGGGCATGGCAGTGGTGCCAGGCTGGTGGGGGGCAGGGGTCCATGAATTATGCAGAGACACCTGATTCCCAGCCCAGCCTGGAGCCTCCAACAGCTGACCTGTGGGGAGGCCCCTATCCAGCTACCTTCTGCCCTGGCTCCCCCTTGGGTCTGGGGCCTGAGACAGAAGGGAAGCCGGACAGGCTGAGGGCTCAGACTTGGGGGGTGCTGGTTCTGGGCTGTTGCATGGAAACAGTGTGGGGGTAGGGTCTGAGTGTGGGGCTATGGCTGCCGCATGGAGCTGCCGGTGGGGAGTTCAGGTGACCCCCCCTGGGTCTGCAGATGGCACTGACCCCTCCCTCACAAGCCCTACAAATAGGCCTCCTCTGACCCTCGCCCTCCCCTCCCCTCGGGGCTTGGGGATGTTCAGCTGGGCCCCGCAGTAGGTCTGCAGGGTGCAGAGCCAGGGGCGGACCCCCCCCCACCCGGGCGGACCCACACCAGGAGGAGGGGGTGTGGGCAAGTCGGGAGGCCCTGAGGGAAGGGCGCAAGCCTGACCCAGAGCTGGCTGGTCCAGAGGGCAGTCCTCCCGCCCTCCGCTTGACCTAGAGGGGCACCGAGGCCTCCCCGCCCTCCCTTCCTTACCGCCCTGGGTCGGCCGACCCGGGGAGGGAATCGCAGCGCGTCCCCGCGGGTCCCCGCGTGCCCGCCCCCTCCCCTGTGCCCTCCAGCCGTTCTCTCGCTCTGGTTTTGGAAGTGGCGGGCGCCTCTCTAAGCCCTGCCCGCCCGCCACCTTGGCGTCTTCAGCACCACTGACAGTGGCGGGCGGGGGCGAGGCGAGGCGGGGCGGGGCGCTGGGGACCCGGCCGGGACTGGAATCCGGCTCCGATCTCGCGGCACGGCGTTGCCATAGAAACCGAGCAACAAAGGGACCCAGGCGCGCGCGCCTGGGTGGGGTGGGGTCTCGGGGTCCCTGTCGTCGGGCCGGCCGTGGGGACCGGCTCGCCCGTCGGGGCGTCCGTCCGCCTGCCCACTGCCGCCCTTCCGGGCCGAGCGCCCCTAGGACCCGCCCCCCCCCGGAGCCAAGGGGGCCGCGGCCTCGCCTCGCGGCCTCGACGTTGCCATGGAAACGGGCGAGGCGCTGAGGTCACCCGGGGAGTAGAGGCCACCTCGTTAGCTCGCTGGAGCCGCAGGGGCGGCGGGGCCCAGGCGGGTCGCCGGCCGCACCCCCTACCCCAGCAGGTGCGCCCCCGCCC